CTTTAAATAACCCAGCTATATTTAACGATTTAGTAATTACATATAGTTCTACAGTTGCAGTATACGTAGAAATTTCATCTTCTAAGTAAGGTACCTCTAGGTGCAGGATTATTTGGAATTATTTTGCATAGTGACTATTGATGCTTCTTTGAAGATAGAGACAAGTTTAATTTTTATTTTTTGCTTGTGAAATGTTACATTCTTAAAAAGTACTTTAAACTGTATAAATATAATTGAAAGTAATTGACTAATCAGAAGAAAGTTATCCTATATCCTTTTTTGTAAGATTATAATAAAATAATTTTTAAATGTTTTTTCTTTTACAAACTATATATTTGCACTGTACCATTTTTCTAAATATTCATTATCAATCAACATTACAAATAAATTGTTTTTTGAAATTATTGCTTTATCTGTACAAAATTTTTTATTAAAATCGTTTCATAATATATATATATAAAGTCTTTAGCAAATGACTATAAGATTAATAAAAATTGCCAGTATTATTATAGTATATTAAAATACAAGTAACTTTTGATATAAGAAACCTTCGATTATAAGAAACTCTCAGTATAAGAATTTATAAGTCTCAAATAATAAAAAGCTATTGATATAAGATCTTGATATAAGAAAAATTTTGGCCAGACCAACAACTTTCTTATATCAAGAGTTACTTGTAATATAGAATTTGGTAATGCAAAGAGAAAACTAGGCCTTGATTATCAAAATTTATATGATCGAAGTTTGGTTTTCCTCTAGTATCACTCATTTATTAAAAAATTATAATAGTATTGGCTTATTGTGTTTAGTATTTAGTTTTATTTTATTAAACAGCAAAAATTACAAATTGTATATACAAATTAATTTTTTTCTAATGCATTAGATTTTCTCTTTAATGATAAAAATAGTGGTGGTGATAAAAGTAGTGGTGGTGTTGGTGATGAAAGTTGCTGTGGTAACAGAATAGTAGTAGATATTGATATATATGATGACCTGAAAATAAAAGACTCTATTTCTGTAGAATCATCAGTATTAAACAATATGTTATGCACAGTGCAAACTATTGCTATTCTAAAAGTAAGCAAGCTATAAATTAGAGAATAAACATCCTCTAGGTTTGTTAATAGAATATTTAAAGGAATTTTCACTTGACTAAGTAATGAAACTCTATATACATCAAATTCTTTGTATATAAAGCAAAATTCTACAACATCTCTGGCGATGTTGATTGTAAATATTGACATATAAATTAATACCATATTTTCAAATTTACTTTTGTTTCTTGCCAACTTAATGTCATTAATCGAATTTTTGCCAATTCTATTCAGTTTTTTATAATCCTGTTTTTGTTTTTAAATGATGATTTTGGACAACCCGTTTCAAGATATCCAATCTCAACTTCTTTGGTACCTATTTGAGCAATAACCATATAATTCAGGCATTTTGCCTGTTTACCTGATTCTTTTCTTTCTGCACTAGCTGAACTTGCCTTTTCTCCACTATTTTATTTAAAATTATATTAGTATTTTAAATAATAAGAATAATTAAAACAATTATACATACTATATTCCCCATATATCAAATTTTATTGACAGATCACTCATTACGATATTTATTAATGGCGATAAAACATCTGACATGTAAGATCCCTCATTTATAGATGACAATTTGTTACCTGTGCATACTTTTCACTTAGGCGAACTCCAAACCTGACTTAGCACTTTTAACATTTGATTTGTTAACTCATGCAATTTCTCAGGTTCATCTAAAAATTTACTGAACAACACATCTTTATATATTTGAGGAGATTTAAGACGCTTCTCTTGTTTTTCCTGAATGAAATTTTCACAAATATTCCTTAATGTGATATTTGTAGGTAATTTAAATTTCTCACTTAGCATTTTGAAAGTCTGTCATAATTTTTTGCTCATTCTCTTTAATGGTTTCAAACTATCATCAAGAATTTCAGAGCATAATGGATGATCATATCCCAACCCCACCACAGTTATATCACCCAATTTGTTTTTTATTTCTTCTCACATATTTTTTTCATCTCCTGATGTGCTTAATACAAACTAATTACATGTTTGTTAGCCTATTGATTAAATTCTTTAAGTGAGTTAATTGCTCTATACAAATACAAACCTGATGTACATTATTTTTTAAATTATCAAAGTTTTTTGTCACATTGACCACCCAAGGTGTTTCTATATTCTATAAATATGCAGAAAATTTTAATTATGAGCTTAATTATTTAGATCTTTAAAACTTTGCTTAGTGATGCAAATGGCTTGAGCTGAACTGTGAGCCAAATGGTTAAGCTAAGTCATTTAATAGCTTAGCTTCAAGTTTACTAATAAAGTAGCACTAAAAATAACTTAGCTCAAAACTTTGAGCCGACCTTAGAGCCATGAGCTGATAGATCTAACAGAGAGTAAATTTCTCAGCATTGGTCAATAAAAAATTATTTTAATAATTGAAACATGTATAAATATAAAAATGGAATTGAAGCTAGAAATTAAAAAACAGTTTTGCTCACTTAATCGACAAATACTTTATTTCATAAACAATGAATTCACAGATAAATTCATTTTATAAGAAATTAACTCATAGACAAGTTTATTTTATAGAAAATTCATCAAATGAAAATTTATTGCACCAACACCTCACTTTACTGCCAAATTATAGTCATTATTAAAAACTTGTACATAAAATGAGCTATTGGTGAAATAAATTGCCCACAAAATAAACTGTTGTTAAAATAAAAGCCATAAAACGAACTCGATTGTTTACAAAATAAACTTATCTGTAAATTAATTTTCTGTGAAATAAGGTGTTTATGAATGATTGTCAGTGAAATGATATGAATCCAGATAGAAATCCGTTTTCAAAAATCTAAAATTTTATATATCGCTTATTTCAGTTAGAATCAGGTAATGTTAAAAAAAATAGAATCAACTATCTAAGAGTATTGTTTGGCTTAAATTAGAGTAACGACTTGGCTCTGATCTATAATCAGCTCAGTTTAATCAGAATTAGTTGAGTCAAGTCGAATTAGCAGTTTGCATCACCAACTTCACAGACTAAATGTATACCAGAAAAATATTCAATTTTAATAAAGAACGAATATATTCAACCACATCTGATATCTAAAATAAATAAATAAATAAATTAGCAAAAAGTAATTATACATAATAAACCTAGGTACATGCGATCAGATTGGTTTTCTTTGTTCATATAAATTTCAAGTTAAGCTAGCTAATAATAAAATATACCTTCGAAGAATTTGCATATGGTATTTTATGCATATAAATAGCTACTCCCGACGTTCTCTCAAAATTATTAGAAAAGCTGAAGTATATTTACTATTTATATACTACCTTATATGCTATCTACGTTGGTAATTGGAAGTGGTAGAAAAATTTAGTCTCTATCCCTCAAGTTATTATATATATATTATTTCTACAACATTTAAAAGAAAACCAATCTTTCATTATATCGAATAAATTTATTCAAATCAATTATAAATATAACTTACACATAGTTCTAAATATTTATCTTTTTTAAAACTTTGCAGCTTTTCCAACCTCTCATCATCTTTTGCATCTTTAACATGTTTTATTGCTGTGTTGAGCGTTTTCCTGAAGTTCTTCAATTCAATCTCTTTATCTTTCATTTACTCGTTTGTTTCAACTTGCATATATTAAGCAGTAAAGATAGTGATGGCAGAAATAGGAATAAAAGAAACAAGAAAAGATTCTATTTTTAATTCGCGAAATAAAAAAACATTATTAAAATTTGCTAAGAGTATAATTACTAAAACAAAAAAAGAAAGAACAAATAATCATAATATCTCTTTTTAAATGATCAATATGTACTTTATACCAATTTCACATGCTAAATATAATTATAGATTTATTTAGTATCTACATTCATATGTATGTACCTAGAATAGATCAAATAGGTTAATTTTTATATATCATTATAAAACTTTAAGACTTTTGTAAATAACCAAACTGAACAAGTCGATTAATATAATAGATTAAAAATAATGTTGTCAATAAAGTTTTGTTCTAATCTCAAAATTCTGAAAAAAAGTTTAATTTTTTTTAAAAAACTGATATGAGTGCCACTACGAGAAAACTCATAAATCTTATTAAATAAGATTTGTGAGTTTCTTTTGGCGGCACTTATAAAAAACTGAATAACTGCTAGTTTTATAAACTTTTGAAATTGACAAGCGGTTTGATTTTTAATATTGTATGCATATCATTTCTATACAAGGTTTATGCGATTAGAATTTTTACAGTTCTAGAAAACCAATAGAATTTTTTTTTTGTTGTACTACCTAGGAAAATTATTAATCGATCTAGGAAGATTTGATAATATAAACATAAAGGTTTTTTTAAATAATATGGAGGTTTAAAACTTAATGTCACAAATAGAAGGTTCAAATCTATCTGCCACAAAATTTTGGTAAGGATTGACTATGTTTTGAAAATTTTTGCTAATAACATATTTTTAATGTCTATATAAAATGTTTTTTTGTATGATAAAAGTTATATAAAAATGATCTACATGTACTCTACCCTTAAAGGCCGATAGTATCGTGTAACATACGTACAAGTTTTTTAAAAACACGTACGTACGTACGCACAGTATGTACAATAAAAGGATTATATCAAACAGTATATATTATATCGATGAAAAAATTATAATTAAATTACTGTAATAAAATTTTGCTTTTATAATTCCAAATTTAATTACGATATTTTGCAATTTTTGTAATTACTAAACAATAATATTTTTGTAAAGTAAATTATTTTAGCGTTTAAATTTAATTAAGTTTGCAACGCTATTTGGGATATACAGTCAGATCTCTCTAAGTGCAACCTCTATAAGTGCACACCTTCTTTAAATGCACGCTCAGATTCTGGCCCAAATATATACTTGACTTCTATAAATGCATTTCTTATTATTCTCTAAATGTATGTTGTTAAAGTGTGGCCCAAGGGTGTGCACTTAGAGAGGTCTGACTGTATATAAATTTGCAGATCATTTTCCAGATACATACGTACGTAGATGAATTATCTATTGCTATTAAACATTTTTTTGTTATTAACAATAATTTTTAAACCAGTATACGTATAAAAAGTATACGTACAAAATACATATTAAAAATTGTTAATTTTATAAAAATTAATTATCAAGCGAGTAGATATATATGAATATAATATACGTGATATAATATGCTACGTATACGTATGTGTAATACGGTATCGGTATTATTTAATTTAAATCTTGTAATGTGTCTTTAATAAAAGTAGTAATAGAAAAAAATATATATAGAATTAAAAGTAAAACTTCACTAATAAAATAATCTGACAATGAATTATTCATATCGATATTAAATTTTTTAGTTAGCAAATAAATATCACAATCAAAATTAAAACCTATAAGTATCGGGTGACAAATAGATGATCGATTCTTTTAAATACAAATTTCATTAGACGTGATGGATAATTCATGTAATATTATATTGATATTAAGTCGATACCGAAAACTTTGATTTTAATTTGACAGCACTCATATTGAATGAAGTTCGCCCATATGGTTGATTTTGTGTAATTTATGAAAATCATATGATAAAATTTAGATGTGTGACTGTTACGGTAAATAAAGTAATACTAATTTATAAAAAATATATCGATATGAATTCCCGTTGGTAACATGTTAAATCACGTGTATACTAAAATGAAGATATAATTAACCTTGGATGCCCATATTAGATGATTTTAACAGGCATATGACGTAAAGAATTGAAGTACTTAGCTTTCATTAACAAATTTTCTTCGTTTATTTGGCCTTGTAATTAATAATATAACTACTCTGAAAAAAAGAATTTCGATATGAGTCAGACGCCAATTAGTAGTCAAGTCAGTCCTGAGCAAGAATCGAGCGGCCCGCAAAACATAATAACACAAGCACCCCCGGAGTCGAAGTTTTTTGTCGGTACAAAGTCCGAAGGTAATGATTTCGGTTTGTCTTAACTTGATTGTAGTGTGGCCCCAAAGCAATAGGATTTTATAGAGACAGTTGAAATCGAGCAATTTAATAGTGTCCAAAGTAAAATAAGTTTTGGAATCTCTTTCAATATGAATTTTGTAAAACTGGGAAATCTTTGCCTTTCCGCGACCGGCAGAAGGAAAAAAAGATAGCCAATTAGTAACTGCTTAAAAATTTTATTTTATTTTATTTTATTTTTTGCATTC